GTATCCTTTCGACTTCGTAAATATGCACTACAATATAATTATTGTGAATATTAAAATGATTAAAAATACTAAATTAATAATAAGTTTTTATACCGTATTGGTTGAGTAACTTCTTGCAAAAGTGCCCCACAAGGATCGATTTTCCTTAACACTTTAATGGCAGCAGTATATGCGGTTATAATGTCAATGGTATTTACAGCTGGATGCAGTAATCTACTATGTAAAGCATTTTGTAACTTTTTACATAGGTCAGATTTAAAATCAGTCTTTTGAAGTGTTAATGATAAATCAATAACAGCCGGTTCCGAATCTGGGTATTCTACAAATATTAAAATATATTTAGAATTATTCATTTTACTATTACATACAAAATAATTTACCAATTATAATGTTAAATAACTGATCGATTCTCGTTCTAGTATATGATTCATAAAGTAGGTGTTTAAGTTTCCTCATAAATATTTTTAAGTTGGGACATTTACGTTCTATTGTATATCCTCTGATTGCTGTACTACATTTTGGATCGTATATATATTGCATCCAGTTATAAACATTTGTATCTATCCACTAAAAGAAACAAATATACTCAGATAACACTATGGAATGCAACGGAATAATCATAACTACTTTTTCTAAGGATGATACATGGTGTTCTCCAAAATTTTCTTTAGTTATTTCTTGAACTTCTGTTTCAATTTTTTGATGAATTAAATCCATAATCACATCACCAGCTAATGATTCTAAAATTCCAATAGTGATCATATACCTGTCAAAAAATAAAATCCATTATCAGATAATTGATACTGACAAAAACTTAAATAGAATATTCACTACATTAACATTGATACTATGATAATAATACCAATACCATTAGATGGTAATTATTTGAAGTTTATACTTATACTTTTACACATACAGTTACATAAAATATCCTGTGCGAATTTAAAACACATTAGATATCTGGTAGTGCACAATTATTGTTTTGCACCGCATAAAATGAATTAAAATGCCTTAGTAGTGAATTTTAGAGTCTGCAGCTGTTTTTATAACATTAAATTATGATATAATTTACCTAATTTTATTAAATAATGGCGAAGTTAGTTTATATATTTGATGCATATCAAAATGTATTTTACATGCTTGTCCCTACTATGCTGAAATAATTTGGATTTCTAAAAAAAAATTCTTAAAAATTTAAAAATCAATAAACAATAATATTATATTAATATAATATGATGTATGACTGCACCTACATAAGAAATAATAATTATAGGAAATGCAGACTAAAAAAAAAATAGTTTGACTTTAAGTATTATCCAGTTGTGGGATAAATGGATTTTGGTGGATGGTTTAAGCTACAAAAAGAATGTTTACAAAACATTCCTCACCGAAATCAGGCCATTTCAAGCTACTGTACAAATAGTTTATATATCACAATGGTTAATTCAGTTAATTAATGAAATAAAATATGAATATTGTAATAATATATAGAATACTATTGTTTACCAGTTAGTCAAATGGAACGTTTCCAATATGTAATCACATTTACAATCAATTATTTCAAAACAGCAACCATTGCAATGAAATGCTCCTTCTTTAGATGTATTTTTTTTATCTGAAAATATTTTAGTGGTTTTATAAATCTAAATAATAAATTAAAAAATGCATTCATTTAAATTATCAATTTTATATTTAGTAATTTATACACATTACTACAAAATAATAGAAATAATATCTATAATTATTTTAGAAATAAATGTACAAATTAAGTTGCACCCACATGTGTTGTCTCCATCTTTTAGATGTACAACACATGCGGGTGCGACATCCTCTCATAAAAGTAACATACCTCCAATAATATCATCTTTAGTGAAGACTTTCAATGCAACTCTATAGAATTGATAGATTATTGTATTATAATCGCTAGGGAGTTGAGAATGTAATAGAGCACAAATTTGAGCATTCAAATTTCCTAAACAATTTATTTTATTGTTTTCAAATAACATCTGTAGGCGGTTTGTTGTATCAATATATGATTGGGCTAAATTAAATAACTCATCAATTGCGTATTTAAATTTATTGAAACCAACAAAATCCTCAGGTATTTCACCATGTGTAGTCGTAGTGAGATTGCTTAATTCAATGACATCATTGGGCATAAAGTAAAGCCAAAATTCATTCATTTTTGACATCAAATCTTGTTTTATTGAATGCATAACCATTCCATGGACAAAGTTACTGAGTTTATTTTCTACAATGATTTTTTTTATTGCAACAAATTGTTCATCATCACAATGTTCAGAATTCTGTAAAACAAATAAATCTATATTATTACATTTGAAGTTTAAATTTGTTTGTTATTACTCATTACAATACATTAGTTTAAGAATGAATTAAACATCAGTCAATTGAGCTTAATAAAACATTGTTTGACTTTTTACTTCTAAATTTAATTCCAATTAAACTTAAGACCAAATTAATTGAATTTATTACAATGTACAATCATACTAACCTCTTGATCTTTTGATAATATTGGAAATCCTAGGACAATAAGAGTCCAGTATGATTTAGTTGAGCTTGTATCCATTTTGTTAAGTTATACAAACATTTGAATAACAAGCAAAACAAAGATCTCGATTTCTATATAATATTAGGTAAAAAAGAATTAATTAAAACGCCAAGTTACCTATAGTTAAACATAATAAACAATAGCACATACCTAACTGAAATGCATTTCAAAATTTAAATATTGCCGTTCAAAAAACTAAATAATAAACATTTCTTATTTCTAAAACTCAGTCTACAAGTAAACAAACCGTGTTTCAAACTTTCAAAGTTTAAACTATCTTAAATCGTGATAACAACTAACCTGGCACGTTGATAACGTTATCTATATAAAAAATACACACAGATTTTAACGAATGGATCTTCGGAGGAAAAATTTTGAGTAGTATGTAAAATTGCCTATATTTGGCCCCCTTTTTCGCTGCTAAAATAAAGACGTGGTAACATCGATAAGACTATAACATTCATATCTTCATTACAAATTATTACAAACATTTTATTATAATTAGATTTAATGGTATTAATGTATTATTCATTGGTAAATTTAAATTAAAATAGTAACATAAATACATACTATTATACGATCGTAAGATTAATAGAATACATTTCGAAAAAAAAACAATATTCATGAATTTTACACTGTCTTAAACAATTAACAAAAAGTTTAAAACAAATGTTATGATTAGGTTTACCTACCTAATATTATATTTTGTACTTTTGTTATAAAACTAACTGTTTCAAGTTTTAACCATGGGTCCCATCGACATAGATTTAGTCATTTCCAAGTACTAAAATCATTTATATTTTAATATCTGTAAACATAAGCATGCGATTTCCAAATTGAATGTTGTTATGAATGATGATGAATGTAAATAATGTTATACTCTTACCATGTATTGATGAAAATATTATACTTGGACTATTGTGACTATTTCAATTTCAGTTCTATAATTATATTTACCTTGTTTACTTTTTCGTACCCATTCCAAATGTTAAAAATTTCAAAAAATAAAAAAACCGGCCAAGCGTGCGAGTCGGACTCTCGCACGAAGGGTTCCGTACCTAATTCGTACCATTATCTATAAGAACGGCAACAAAATCACATTTGTTGTATCCCCCTTAAATATTTATTTTATTTTATTATTAGTATTTATTGTTGTAGTGGCAATAGAAACTTGAACCGTCTAAGTATCACGGTTCATGAGATACAGCCTGGTGAGTGGTGACAGACGGACAGTGAAGTCTTAGTAATAGGGTCCCGTTTTACCCTTTGGATGCGGAACCCTAAAAAATGGAATGTAGAAGGTAGAACTGATCACAAAATTCTTCGAACTCTACGAAAAACTTCCTTGGGCATGAGATATATTTACAAAAAACCTAAAAAGTTAGGATTGCCCGGGAATATGAGTGTAGGGAAATTGGAAATGCAATGAACGTAGAGGGATTTGAATCGGCGGAAGTGAAGACAAAAATAAGATCTTTGATAAATGCTTTTAGTCTAGGATTGACTAAAATTCAAAAAAAGCTAGAAATCTGGAACAGGAGTAGATGATACATATAACTTTATTAGCCAAATGTTAAATGGTTTCCTATTGCTCATCGAATTTTGCACCAAGTACCTAGTACAAACGAGAGATTCACAATCAACTAAAATAAATTAAGTATATTAAAATTTAAAAGCTGTATATTTAAAATCTATAATTTGATACACATTATTTTAATTTTATAAAATGAAAATTTAAAGATTTTATTCATTTCAATTGTAGGACAGGTACTTCGTAGTTTTAAACATTTTAATGTAACTTCAAAATTATTTATTTGATTATTAAAAATAAATTGATAAAATTATGATAAATTATTAATTTAAAATTGATGTAAGTATTTAAGAATACTAAAAATTAAAAAAATCAATTTAATATTATTTCTTGAGACAAAGCATATTAATTTGCCAAGATTTTCTCTTTTTTTCTAAATCCAATTTGAAATCTTCAATAAATAATGACACAATTTAATTCCTTTTCAGTTGATAATTTTTTATTAATTTCAAAGTTTAAAAAATAATCGAAACACAGAACTACAACAGTCATACAAATTTACAACGAACGTAATGAAATGGCGAGATTTTGGAAACAGTTATTGGCGATACATGTTTACTGGTGTATATGATGGCGCCACAACAAACATGAACGTGGAAACCAGTATTATCATCTTGTTTCCCTAAATTTTGCTTCTTTGTGAGTATATGACTCATCAAAGCTCGTTGTCCAATAAGCATTAATGACTAACTATTGTCCATTGACAATAATTATTAATTACAATCGCATTCACAAACGTAATTCAACGTTTAGCATCAGAATCATTCAGAAATTATGGATGCTGTGGAAACAAAATTTAGAATCCTATAGGTATGAATAATACAACTATAATAATAATTGTTATTTGATTTCCTCTCTAATTTTCTCTAACTTTTTTCACATATTTAGTTTAATAAAAATAATTTGTACATTTCTGGTTTGATTGTGTATGTTAGTTGATACAAATACAATAGGATAGCAATATAATAGCATAAAAAAAAAAAAAAATAGAATACAAATTTGAAATTTTGAAGATAAATTGGCAAGTGTGCAGTGGGCTTTATTTTGTTTAAAACAATGTTGAATTGCCCATAACAAAAAAAAAAGTAAGTTTGACGCATAATTTAAAAGCCTTTTTTCATAACTTAAGATAACTAAATACTATCATTTGACTCCGGCTGGTCACTTATTTATGGGACACATTGTATAAACGAGAAAAAATTTTTTTACTTAAATCTATTTAATGGGATTAAATAAAAACAAATAACATAACTAATTATTATAATTAACTTACTACAGATTTGCCATCCTTACTTTAGTGAAATCAGCAACACCAGTAAATGGTGTTAACATATCAATCTCAAACCAGAATCCTCATAGAATATAAAATGAATTATTTTTTGCATTAAAATAGTGTAAGAAATATTATAATGACATACAAATATTTAACAGATACAATAATTCAAGGATCTTATATAACTGATAGAACACTATATTCGAGACTATTTTATTTTCAACAGTTGGCTTTCAAATAAAAACCGCATAATTACTAAATAATATAATAACATTAACCAAGTTAAGAAAATATTTGTATACAAATTTCACATAATTGAACAAAATGATTTACTATCTATTTCTGTATTACACTCGTCTAATGTATCCTTTAATGTTGAATTTGGTCTTCGCTTTGCTATATAATCTGGCAATGGTTCATTCCAGTTTTCTGGTGGACTAGTTCTATTTTCCCATACATTATTTGCATAGAACGATTTCCATCGATTGTTTCTCTTAATTTTTTCACTATTAACCAAGGTTTCCTTTAAAAAAGAACAAATTGTTATTATTATATTTTTAATGTAAAAGAGTAACAGGGATAATATATATCCTTAAAATTAGTTACAGCTGCTTGAATATTTTTGTCATTTTTCCATTTTAAACAATTTGTATAGTCTTCATGCCAATGGTTGCAATCTACTGTACTTCCATGAACAAACATCTGATGTAATCTTGATGATATTGAAGTACACTCACCATATTCACTATTATACATTTCACATGGACGTATCTGGAACAAATATTCTTGTCCACATAAATATTCATCAAAACATATTTAATAGAAATGTTAATTAGTACATAATATCTAAATATACAAATACTTCAATTATTATAAATTATAATTGTTTGGGTATATAGCACAACTAGTTATTTTTCATTCTTTTTAATATTATAGTGGCATATTATTATTTAAAATTAGGATATTTTTTGATAGACTTAAAATTAAAATCAAATGGTTCATATGAATCTAATACATCAATGTTTACAATCTACAAGTAAAATAAATTTTATCATACTATAATGGTGTACTTTTTAATTTAATTCTACTTTTTTATATTATCACAGAAAGATTTTATAGTTACCATCCATAAATCCAAATCTTTTGGTTTTGTATCTGTATTTTCTTCGTTCATATCTGTAATTTAAATAATTGACGTAATTATACAATTGGTAATTACTTAAGTACAGAAAAAATAAAAATATTTTATACATACTCATATATTCTTCTAGAGCTATAAAGTAATAAGCTATACTTTAAATCATATATTATAAATAATAGTTAGTATTGGAAGTAAAATGTTTTATTAATTGATATATATTAATTAAAATTGTAGTCATAAAAATGTTAACACACTAACACAGAAAAATAGAATAAATTTAATATTTTAATTTCATAATTTCTAAAATAAATGATATTTTCTGAATCCTGATACCTGATATTAATTTTCGTTTTTCATTGCCGGCATGAATTGATAAGATAACATTATGAAAAAGTCAAAGACGTTTCTTATTTTGAGCTTTGAATATTTTTGTATGTGATAACATTCAGCACATCTCATTATCTCGGATAGATAACACGAATTGGATGTTTTAACTTTTAACAAGTTATGAATTCACTTACCTAACACCTATATATGTTTTATTTAAATCAATAAATTATATAAAAATTCTAGTTCCTAGTCTCTAGTAAATATGATTTGTAATTCATTTAAAGTTTGTGTTGCATTGTTATCCATCGTATTGGTAAGTTTGCCTAATGCAAATGGACAATCAGAATCGAACCGTGAACTATATGACATCGAAGGTACAGTTATGCTGCCTAACTTAACAACTTCCTGGTTGGCCGAAACTGTTATACAACTTAAAGGAGGAGAAGCAGTCGGTTTTCTGAGGTAAAAATATTTTACACAATGGCCAAAGTTAAATTTTTAAATAATTTAAGTACACTTCATTAAAATATATTAATTGGTTTTGGATTATATATTTTTGACCTGTACTTACAAGATTATAATTTATTACTTTTTGATTGATATCATATGACAAATGTTTTATGTGTTGCAAATTATGATGTTATAATTTATGTGTTATCAATTTTAAGTATACACCAAATATATTACACTCCCAGTATACTTTCAAAACTAGCCATTTTTCAAACTTATAATTTTATTCACATTTCAGTCAAGTATGTTATACATATTCTTCACTGTTATTACACATTTTTTAACGAAATATAAATTCAGAAAGATAATACAGCAGAACATACACCCATTTTGTATGATGTATATTATTTTCCTACTTATTAGTTTATTTTTTATTTTTATAAAAACCTTCATAAACTAAATAAGATACATTTTGCAGGAAAAATGGTTCTTTTCTTATTTCTAAAGTACCATCTGGATCATATATTGTTGAAGTAGTCAATCCAAATTATGTCTATGAACCAATTAGAGTGGAAATTAATTCAAAGGGCAAATACCGCGCCCGCAAAGTAAATTACATTCAGTCATCTCATGTACATCAGATGCCCTATCCATTAGAGTTTGTCAACTACATGCCTGCCAAATATTTTTACACTAGAGAACAATGGAAAGTCACAGATTTTCTTTTCAATTCAATGGTAAGCCTTTGTCTTTAAATTCTTCAATGACTTCAGTTACCCAAATAGAGGTAATTTTAATAAATAACAATTTTAATGTTAAGGTGTTAACAATGGTGTTGCCACTTCTTGCAATATTGGTTTTGCCAAAGTTAATGAATGACCCAGAAACAAAGAAGGTTTGAGTTTTGAGTAATTGCTCTAATAGATAACAAGTATAGTTATATCTTTAAATATTTTTTAGGAAATGGAGCAATTGACAAACTTAAAACACGATATGCCTGAAATGTCTGAAATGATAACTTCTTTTTTCACTGGAAACTCACCAACTGCCGAGAAACAAAAAGAAAAAACCAAGGCCATAAAGAGTTCAAAAAAATCCAACAAGAATAATTAATGTGTAACAAGTGTAAATTTACCAAAATTATGTTAAGGTTAGGTATTTTGTACATATATAAAAAATCATAAAAAAATTAATAATAGTACGTGTTTATACAAAAATGTTATATAAATAGGTTGACATAATATGTATTATAAATATATACACATAAAATTTCTATAAACATATAATTGGAAAAATAAATTTTTTTTTATAGAATTAAAAAGAATGCATAATATATTTCAGTTTTATAGAATTCTGTACTTGTATATGGACATGACATTGTCGCTTATATTCCAATTTATTGCAAATGACAATATATATAAAAAAAACAGCAGAATAAATGGAGTCAATAATACTTCAGTTTTTTGCAAAATGGGTAAACCTGGAAAATAAATTAAAAAACACTTACATAAATTAAATTAAACATAATAATTTATATGTGGTAAGATGTATTTCTATAAAATAATACAAAATTACTAACAGCATATTTATCAAGTACTGTTTCAAGATAAAAAAGTTTTTAAATACTTAAATCGTGGATAATGCAATAATATAAGTATTGTTATATTTTTTAATGAATGTAGGACAATTCTTCTAAGGATTTTTTGGTGTACTAAGAATTATTTAATTAATTAATATAAATTAAGTACAATTTTTTAATGCAGATATTTTCTCCCATATTTTTTTAACATGTACTTTTCTATTGAATAGTTAAAATTGTTATCTGTAATTTTATGGTGAAGAATTTACAAGTAATTAATATCAGATGATAGATAATTAAATACTTTAAAAATGTCTATTCCATTCTATTATATTATATTGTGTATTGATAAGACAAACAAATTGAAAATTAGATAACTGTTTCATACACATATTAGTTTTAAAACTTAAAAGATACAAAATATTCAATACTTACAGCTGTATCCTAAAAATGTTATATACAGATAATAACCAATTGCTATAAGCCATAGTGTATTGCCAATAAATAATGGTAAGAACCAATCGTGTCTGAGAAATACTAAAGAAAAACAAAAAATTATTATTTAATATTTTCATAGAATCGTTTTATATAGTATAAAGTAGAATCTGCTTGTATTTTTTTATTATTTTAATTTTCAACCTTCTTTTACGTCTTCTTCCTTAACATTTTTAACTTTTAACAATTTCACCCAAAGTAATAATGACAGTCAGTTATCGCTTATCACCATTCCACCCATAAATAGTCATATACATTTGACTTGAGCAATCTTTACTAAATATTCAAAAGCTTGTTAAATGGTACACTTATAAACACTATACATCTAGTAATACTTATAATATATATGGTGATCAAATACTATTTTTTTGACCAGGGATTTCAACTATTTTTTCACAACACCCTAACTTAGATATTTATAAACAGTGACACACTTAAAATAAATTATTGGAAAAAAATAAACCTGTATACCTAAACTATTATATTTACATTTAAATTTACTTCACTGAAAATAAATAATATTAAATTTTTAAAAAAAAATTGTCAAAAGTTTTTTTAGTCACACGTGATTGTACTACCCACACTGGTTGAGCACAAAGCGCTGAAACTATTATTTAAAGCAGCGGTTCCCAAACTTTTACGACCACGGCACCCTTAAAAAATTGTTTGTGTTTCGCTGAACCCTAATGTCTAATCCAACTCAACTTCAATTTTTCTAAATAAAAAAGGAAAATCAACTCTCTATAGTTTAGTCTAAACCCTCAAGTCTTAATAATATTTTTATGATACTGTTAATGACTTTTCATTATTAAACTTAGTTTAAAAAAAAATTTTCAATCAAAAATGTTTTAAATAATAAACATTAAATAAACATAATTTCCTCAATAATCTCATACATCTGGCGGAACCCTAAGGTTCCGCGGAACACAATTTGGGAAACGCCAATCTAAAGTAATAAATAAAGTAGTTTATAATACGTATGAAACAATAATACATACTGTGATAGAAAAACAGTTGAAATATATGAGATATTACTAATGTTGGAACAAAAGCATTTAAATGTATATCAAATGCATAAGCCCATTCAACATCTTGTCCTTTGTAGTTAGATTTAATTAAATATCTGTTGGCAACTAACCTGTAAATTATAATAAAATATTAATAATAATATAGAAGTGATCACAAGAAGAGTAAATACATGGTTTTGTTTGACTACAGTTGTAGATCATTGAAATAGTTTGTGTATGATGAATGTTTATCATCAAGGAATGACTTTGTACAAATGTAATTTCATAAGGAATGTCATAATATGTTTGGAACCAAAGTATGAAACGGAGAAATTAAGTTACTGAGATTTGATTTATTTGATTTTCTATTTATTGAATTCTGTTCTCATTGAAATTAGTTTTAATAAACTATATGACAAAATATTATACAAGCATCAATGATTTATACATTGATATGTTTAAACAACATGAAATCATTATTTAGCTTGCATTTAAAAACATTTTTATTTTGCCCCCTACTAAAATTTCACCCATTGTGTACAATTTCTCTGCGATGTGATGATATATAATTTTGAAATATGTGAACAATTACAAAATAAATTTATTTTAAGTACCTATTTCTTCAATATTGGGTTTAATTGGTCTGAATGAACACAAATATTAATAACAAACGTTAATAATTATTTTTAGTAGGATTTTATTAATAGATAGCCCTTATTCTGTGTCTTACAGAGTAAATTAAAAATACATACCATAACACAGTACTTATTATGACACCAGATAACAAACAGTCAACTGTTACAATATATAATAGAAATTTTAAAAATTCAACGAAGCCAAGTCTTAAGACGTAAGTAAACGCTATTGATGAAACTGAAATAAATTAAATTAAATTAAACACTTAGTTAAAGTAGATATTTTTATATATTTACCGCATAGGAGTCCACTTAAAAGCACCAAAAATGCAGGGTCATCACGAGCAAATTGTAGTTTTGTTTCTATGAAAAAAGTTGAAATAAAATGATACAACATAATATACTGAATCGAAAACCCTTACCTTTTCTGTGTTGAAAGTTTCGATATACTTTCTGAGGGTTGATAAACAAAAATGTCATTTGCCAGAGTGCAAACTCAAAATCCATTTGTTTAAAGTTTGTTAACTTCCGCAAGTAGCGGTAGCGTTTCACAGCAGCACTCATACATGTTCTGCAACATTTTTGGATTTAACTTATGTACCCTACTTGAGTAAACTAATGAATAAATACATACCGCTGTGTTACTGGTGAAGGTAAATATGTCAAAGACGATGTCGATCGGAAGGAATTTACGCTGCTTGGCATTATATTATACGAAACACATTCAAAAATAATAGTGTAACTTCAATTTTAAGATTTGTTAGTATTTTGAAGTACAATTATTTAACTAAATATTAGAAAAAAAAGGAAATTAAAGAAGTGTTAAAAAGATTTGTATTTAATTAAGTACCTCTATAAATGTATTAATCATATAATTTTTGTGTTGAAACTGTTCAAAGGTAAAAAGTATGTTAATTTCATATTATTTTTCATATAACTTTTTAGTATTTGTCACTGAGACAGATAAGATATGAATCAGTACTATTTACAAATTACAAATGATATGTTATCACTTCTTATGATTTTGTTGTTGGTATTTTAAAGATTAGATGCTTTGGTATACATTCTGAAAGTATAATATTACTATATATTATGTTTATGTAGAATGAAGATTTTAATAAAAAAGGATAATATTGAATTGGAAACTGCAAATTAAAAATTAAAGTGTAGATCGGAATTTGGAGTTTGTAATCATTGATAAAGGATTGATAAATTCAATTATTTCATGATAACACATTAACGAGACTACATAGTTGTAGTATATAGAACATGGGCCGATATTATGTACTCATGTTAAAATATTAAAAAATTAAGTTGATTGGATATTTTTTATTGATGAGTTTTTAACGAGGACATTATATCTTGACAACACGGCTTAAGATAGAATTAAGCCGTGCTTGACAATCATTGACAATAATTAGACAAAGAAAACCTTAAACATACCAATAAAAACTAGTTAACATACTAGGACATTAAATATTATGCTAATATGGTGTTATATGGAATGGGATTTTGTTTAATTAGGTAGGATGTGAGCGCAATTAGAAGAGGGTTAATGATTGACTATAGTTCTTGAAATTTGGTGATGATGTGCAGAGGTTATTCGGGTGGTTGAGTGTTGACGGTGAGTTTATTCAGATTTCAGACTTGGAAGTCCATAGACGGACCATGCATAGATGAAGTGTATATAATATATGCATAGCCGCACACGTCTTAACTCTTTGTCTGATATTGTATGTATGAATAAGTTGTTCCATAATTCTACAAACTACAAAATGTATATAATGCCTTATAGTCCATATTCCATACACTTCAGTATTAAACAAAATATGTACCCATTAAATGTAAAAATCTATTATTACATAAACAGCGCGATGTACACGTCATCGTCATGTGACAGCAACGGATGCTTTTATTACCTATTTTATCTATCTCTTTATGATTGATGCTGACATTTTATACGAATAGCATCTAATGATGTTGAAGCTCAAACATATTAATATAATTTTATAATGAAATATTGGTAGGTATTCTTTCAAAACTGAAGAATAAATCACTATTAACCAATGGGATGAAGCCTGAAAGGAGGACAATATTATGTCATTGCTGTATCTCATCGAATCAGGGGATGAAAATTGTCACTTTTAATTCAATGCATATCTTAATTGTTGGTTTCTAATTCATTAGGTTCCAGAATTGAACATATTGGTATTGTTTGTTTCGTAATGCTAAATATCTTGACTTCACCATAGAATAAAGAATATGTGCTATAGAAAAGTTTTTCGGATTTCAGTATTCTACATAATTTTTAATTGGAAATTGGAATTCAAATACTAATAGCTATTAGGTAGGTACCTATGGTAACCAGTAACAATATCAAATTCAAACATTTCAGGAAAACTAAACATTTTTATCTCATTAAGTTGCAAATCGCAATTGGTTAGTATTCAAATAAAAATTATTTAACTATTTACAAATTATTTCTACGCAGACATTAGGATTGACATTTTAATCGAAGTTGATGCAATCAGTAAGAATAAGAATAATAATAAAGTATTAAGTTGATACCAAGAAGACTCTCGATACCTCATTAACTTTTCTTTCAAAAATTTCTTTAGAAGGGATTTAAATTCAAATTTTTATACTATTGGATATTCATACATAAAATATTGCAGTTATACTAAAAATATTAATAGGACAATTGAATAATATGTATGTAATAAGTACTAATAATGTATATTACTTATCACACTAATCTAGGGACACTGAACAGCCAGTACATGCTGTGACCCCGAAAAAATCGTTTCTTTAGCACATCTCCATGAGATGCCATTTTGAACCAATCTCAATTATGAGGCGATGAGCGGAGATACGTAAAATCGAAATGTTTTATTGATGGACCAATTAGAAGTTATTTCATGTTGAACCTATTCACAATATTTTATGGCAGATAAATACTAAAATATAAGTGAGGAATTGTAATACATGCATTGTTTTGGGCTATATAGATCTAATTTAGACATATAATAGTGTATCTCCTAGTGCAGAATCAATGTTTTCTTATTCTATGCAAATTCAACACATATATTCATGTGACGAGTTACACCATAAAAACCTACAATACTGCTAAGTTATATTATAAATACAAACAGATTATTTGTTACTTGAATGTTATAGAAATGGATACTCAGTCCATTTAATAAATAATTATAGGTTCAGCTGACTATCAATTCTTATTGACATTAACAGCAATAATACATTAAAACATGATTTCACTTTTTAAATATTTTGTTTTTAATTATTCAAAAAAATAAAAATACACATATTATGTATTTAAGACCTAGGTCTCTCCTTCTTTTCTTTGTATAAAGCGAGTAATGAAACATTTGCTACTTTGACAACCTTGAAACGAACCCCTGTATGAACAAAATAATAATAAACAAAAGTTCATAAAATATTAAGCTTTAAGAGCAATAAATATCTTACCGGGAATATCTCCCACAGCATGACCTTTTCGCCCGAAACCTGCTACCAAAACTTCGTCATTTTCTTCAATATAATTTAAACAACCATCTCTAGGTACAAAAGCGGTGATTTTCTTTCCATTCTTGATAAGTTGTACACGGACACACTTACGGATAGCAGAGTTAGGCTGTTTGGCTTCAACTCCACTGTAATTAATACATTTGTTTAAATATACTGATTTAATTGAACTTTTATCATCTGACAAAATGTATCATGCTTACACTTTTTCTAAAACAATTCCCTTGGCGTGAGAAGCTCCTCCGAAAGGATTGGCCTTCCATCTTGTTCCTAAATGTGCCTTTTTGTAGTCCTTGTCGGCCCACTTTTGGACACGACGATGGTTTACATGTTTACGGGCCGTACGAATACCACGAGGTTTACCTATGTATTGATGTAATAATTAGCTTAATGTACAACTTCAACAGCTTTAACGATTATCAACCGTGTTTAACATCTACAAACTCAAGTGAAATAGTGTATACTATATCACGTCAATTGAACTTAAATTATTCAGACACTATTATTATTATTTTTATTTCGGTCTAACTATTAGACAATTTAATGCCGATCAGCGATTGACAAATTGGAGATGTTAGCACATGGTCGATAATTTATTTTTTACAATGTTTCAAAATATTAACACAAATTGCTGTACTTACCCATGATGTGTCACGATTTCAAAAGAGTGGATGAATCGGAAGAATTAGTTGAAGAAATGAACGATTGAACACGAAACGTGAAAACCACGAACGTACACAAAACGCACAAGACCGAAATGACAGAGAGATCAGAAACTGTGTGAAGGAGGTACGATGCTAAGTTGTAGCCGACTCTGTGTACAGTATGACCAACGTATTGAACTAAATAATAGTTATGGTGAGCCTGTATGGGATCGTTCTAACCACGGTCGATTGCTACAATCGTTAATCAACCACAGTTGTGAGTTGTTGTAGTTAGATAGATGGCGTTCTCTTTTGATAAGTGGTTAAAAGATTTAAAGATAATGAATAATGATAGTAATAACTTGATATAATGGTCAATTTAGTTGAATTGTCAAACATTTTAAATATTTTTATTTTTATTGAATATTCAATATTTTTTAAAGATTTTTTAATATTTATTGCTTAAACTATATTTTATAATCTCTAGAACGTAACAAAATAGATTAACCTTATCGCAGTCTACAGCTTATGATACACAATTTGAATTGACATGTGCTCCATTATACACAAGTGGTGAATAATTGGACGATTGTGCGCATTTTGGAAGTCTACAGTAATTCGAATTACAGTTTTTACGAGTGTTGAACAATTATGAACATTATAATGTCAGACAATAGACTTGTGTTGAAGTCTTCTATTCAAGAATCATTGAAGCACTCGTGCTTAGAATATAGTGTGGAAAAGCGCGAAAAATGTTCCAACACAGAATGCTTCATTATTGTGATGTCACTACTAATAGCAGCATATTCATATTTAGTAAATTCTACAGTATTATGTTCAAAGACTGTCTTCATTTCTGCAATTGTCTTGTTAATATTTGGGTTAAGGTTTAGTTTTAAAGTTTGTAATGAATCATTACTCATAACAGCTCCCATTGGATTACAGTTGACCACAACTTATATAACTGGACATCAAAGGGTGTTTTCATTACCTTGGCAGAGTATTGCTGATGTTCTTATTGTTGATGTTATTCACACTCAAAAAGTATTATACTACTTGGCGATTAAAACACCCCAAAATGGAATAATAACATTGTTTCAGAAAAGTGCACCAAGGTTACATTTTTTAGAAATAATATACAAGGACGTTTACAAACTATTAGAAAACAACAGATGAAGTGATTTGTGGATATCAAACTTAATGTATATTTATTTTGTAACATTATAAAATTGATTATATGTCCATTTTGGAAAAACACGTTTATACAAATTTAAACAAACAGTGTCTTGAGATTTTACTTGACCGTCAAATCCACATTTCATGTGTCCATGAGTACCTAAGATTAGAAATAGTGACATTTAATACAAATATGAGTCATTTTTAAACATGTTTATATCCAATTATTATTTTATTTTTAAATAAACAAAGTGATAAGTTATAAAACATACCTAAAGGTTCTTTAATATGTCCTCTCCTTCCATACTTGGTACGTAGCTCAACTGGTCTAAACCAATCAATATCTTCTCGATTGAAAAACATAAACCTGACAACAGCCGAATGTTTATGTACCTTAAATGGATGACCGCTCAGAACTGTTCTTTTTACAATCACACGATCTGGATTTACTGACAAAACATTTCCATTTCCAATTATTTGCTAAAAAAGTAATAATTTAAATTAAACTTAACAAGAGTACAAATAAATATTAAATGTATTGTTTAAAAGAACCAAATAATTTAATATGAAAAAAAAATTTGAAAACTTACAAATGAACCATCTTTACAGTACTTCATGGCTATAACTGAGGAAGGTGGATAGACAATAGGTGCAAACATTGTAGCAACAACTATTGAATCTTCATGGAAAAATCGTTCATACTAAACCAATAAGATAAAATAATAAAAATAACTCAATACCTACAGTTTTTAATTTACTTTAAATTTATTTCCATTTGTATGCTGACTAAATATAGGTTCTGCAGTAAATCGACGAAAACCACATTGGAATATAAGTTCCGATTTAGATTTAATTGGTTCGTCAAAATGTACTGTAGATGGTCGTTTCAGAACTACATTTAGCACAGACATTTTTTGCTCATGAGGCATAAGACCAAATAATACAATAGGATTACGGGCATCTCTTGAATGAAACATTTTAGATGGTATATTTTTCACATGAACTGTAATGTACCAATCTGGCTAAAAAAGGTTTTTTAAATTAATTATTGATTAAAAAAAAAAAATTCCACATTAAAATTCTTACCATGGCACCAGTTGTGTTTTCTAAATTTTTAAACATCCTTTTCCTTGTTCTATCAAAATTTTCAAACTGAAATATTCTAGCATATTCAGCAGGTAAATTTTCTTTAACATCCCATGGTGATGTCCGGAATGATTGTAAACCTCTATACTTCTGAAAGCGAATTCTAGCTGGCATATCATTAGGTGTATCTACTTCATCGGGAAACATTTGATCAGCTTTTGCTTCTAAAATAAATTGTTTATTGTATATGTAATATGTATATTTAATAATTTTAGTCAAAGATATTAAGTTATAAAAATGTGTTACAATTTTTTAAACAAATCCAATATTTAATAGAATAGAATTCCACAATCCAAGTATAAATTCTTTAATATAATTGGTGTGTTTAATCTACCAAGTTTAAATACTTACTTATATGTATAAAGAGTTTAATTTTACATTTAACAATAATTTAGATAACATTATGTTGGTTGGATAAACCATAATTAATATTTTGAATAATAATTATAACACTTTAATATTTTAATGGCATGATTTCATATTTAATTTAAAATTAAAAATACAAACCTTTAATTTTAGTTAATATTTTTTCTTCTTCATTTATATCAAACTGCAAATCATATTTATCAGCTTCAATCGGCGCTTCAGAAGCAACAGAAGTCATAGACATAGTTTCCATTTGGTCATCTATTACACTCTTCATTTCATTATCAGAAGTTTCATCTTCGATTGAATAAAAATCATCGGAGCCTTCTTCAGATTCTGAATTATCCTCATCTGTTCAAATAAAATACAAATTAAAAAATAAATTAAAAATCTATTATTCTAATATATGAATTTAAATCAATATTCATGTAAAAATATATACCATGGTCAGATTCTTCATCAGGAATCCAAGCTGATTGATACACAGACATACCCTGAGGTACACGTTTAATCATGCGTTTATTTTTAGATGTTGCTTCTTTCATTTCTTCATCAGTAGGCCAAGTTTGTTCAGCATCCATTGGATCAGGTATATTTTCACAAACCAAAGTATCCTTTAAATATTATTGTTTAAACTGCATATTTAAAATAAAAATTCTTTTTTTAAAAACCACATACTTGTAATCCAGGATTAGCAGTCTCCAAGACTGTAGTTTGCACATCTTTCCCAGAAAAGCTCTTGATAAAATCATTAGAGGACAAATCTATTTGTTCCATTTGAAAGTCACCCCACCCAGGAATATGTACTAAAGAATTAACAGAAAGAGTCTGTCCTCTCAAAAAACCGCTAATTTTCATAGTACCTACATTATCCTAAAATCAAATTATGAATAATACATTTCCTTAAAATTATTATTCACATTAAATTAATTCTATTTTGAATATACAAACATCAGAGCTAGGGATAAAAGCCAATTCTTCAGCTAATAAATGTGGTCGTCTATCACGGAATGTAATTGACCTTTTTTTTTGAGAACTTATACGTCTAAGAACATTTAGAATGTCTGTTGATGTATCAATTTTGCTGACTTTTTCATCAGGTAGCCAATTTTCTATATCTTTCTGAATGCACTGTTTTGCTTCATTTTGTTTCTATTAAATAATTGAGAATAAATATTAAATATAAGCACCTATACTTTGTCCAGCAAGAGGATAAGCAGTGGACTGATGGAAATCGGTTCTTCTGTGACACTGGTTTCGATGGGAGAGTGACACACATAATCAGCGTGTTTTCTCACTGGACAGAGTATAATATGGATTAAATAAAATATTAGGGGCTACAAACTTTGAGAGGTATTTTATCGAGGTCTGTAATAGCTACAACCGTTGAAGGAAGTCCTTGTGCTAATATACAAGTCATTAGTAAATCAACATCTTGATCAAAGCCACCTTCAGCCGAAACCATAAACAAAATGGTGTCAACTACTTTAAGTGTATCTAAAAGTCCAAGAACACTGCTACAGTCGGGTCTAATGAAAGTAAATGCTTGTTTGAATTGTTCAACCCTAATTAAAAAAAAATTCATGAAATTTAATAAATCAGTTTTTATTCCCACAATTCACCGAAATTGATGGCCAATAATATATGATCCCATATTCAACATAATATTAGGCAATGTATTTTGCCATCATTAAGATATTATTTCACTTGGAATTTATTCAATAAAACATAAGTGGCAATATCTGGTAGGGTCATATATTTTTTACAATCAATTCCAACTGGTGAGAGTACAACAAACTAGTGCCATATAATAAATATTAATACTATATTGTGTACATTTCAAAAACAATAATTATATTATCATAGTAACCATAAATGGGAGTATCCTTCAGAAGCAACAGCTGTTGTTAATTTTACATCGGCCTTTTGTAATACATTGATCATTTCCATCAGTTTTTCATTAACAAACACATTATTGCTTAGAGGTATAACAGCAACTAAGTGAGGTACATTTAAAGACCTACGTTTTTCATTCAAAACATTTTCTGTTTTAGTTTTACGTAAAATCTTAGCTTGATGTCTACGTTCCATACGACTTAACTGGTGATTAGCTTTAGATTTGGCTGAATTCTGTGCTGAACGTCCTAAATTAAAATATTTCATTTTTATAAACATTTCAAATTTGAATTTTCTACAGTATTTTTAAATACCTTTTTTCAATATTTCTAGGATTCCTTTACTCCTGTGTCGACCAGTTTTATGTTTTTTATTGTCCTGTTTAGCTGGCCCAGGTCTGTGGACCGCTTGATCATGGTTTTCCGGTTTCATTCTAAAAGTATTAATAAACGAAGTGGCTATTAACACGTTCGACGTGAATCCATGAACTACGCACTATACTTGCACTGGACAATTTAAAAGCTAGTCTCAGTCAGTTGTACTTAGTCAGTTTAAA